CCTCTTCTGGTTGGTGAAGTGGATTTTTTTCCCCCATGTAACTCTCCATTGTTGGAAAAAAATAGGTGCCAGAGCCCTGAAGAATCTTTCATGTCCCTGTTGTTCTGCTAACCTTGCTGCTCCTCTGTGGAAGTTAGGGACACTGAAGGGTTTTATAATACATTTTTAGATCTGAAAAGTTAGGAAATTAAAGCACATTGAAGCAGTGTGTTTTAATTGATCTCATACTCCAAGAAACACAGCTTTTGCAGCAGCTTGCAAGTACTAGTGTCAGCTCCAAGCATGGTGATTACTGCCATAACCAGGCTCATTAACTGCAGCAGAATTGCTTGTGATAATATCCACTCCTTGCCCATAGGAAGCTTTTGCCACATACAGCACTGAATATAGCATGGAATAAGGAAATACAGTTTGGCTGGTGGAACTTTAAGGGAAAGGTTATACTTTTTTCCTCATCTAAGTATCTCATTTTGCTATTCACACCACTGGTCTTTGATCAAATTAACATTTTACTGTAAGTAGAAGAGCACTCGGTTCATGCTATTCATTATCTTGTCAGGAAACAAGGAGAATAATTTAAACTGGATATATTGTGTAAGGCTTTTTTTTTTTTTTCTTTAATTGGGAAGCACACGGCAGTGTTACGAGCGTGACCTCACGGCTCTGCTGTGAGCACTACAATATTTACCTGCTGCATTGAGGAGAATGGAAGTGTTTTGAAATATTTTGTTACCAGGGAGGTAGCTCTGTGCTCGAAAAACAGTGGTGTAGGAGTTAGGAGGGACTGTATGACTGAACAATAGCTTTTCTAAACAACACTGGATTTGCCTGATCTTCATCAAGGCCACTAGTGTGACTGTCACTGGGCATTGAGGGGTTTCTAGGCTGTGCATAGGATTTGGAAGTAAGGAAGCAAGAGTTTTAGCACTGAGTGATGAAAAGCAACTATGCTATGGCATATCCAGTGCCTAAAGGTGATCCAAGGGAGCTGGAGATGGACTTTTTACAACGGCAGGTGGTGTGAGGACAAGGGGGAATGGCTTCAAACTGGCAGAGAGCAGGGTTAGATTGGGTATTGGGAAGAAATTTTCCCTGTGAGGATGCTGAGACACTGGCACAGATTGCCCAGAGAAGCTGTGGCTGCCCCAACCCTGCAAGTATTCCAGGCCAGGTTGGATGGGTCTTAGAGCAACCTGTTCTAGTGGGAGGTGTCCCTGCCCATGGCAGTGGAGTGGAATAATGGGATCTTTAACTTCCCTTCCAACCCAAACCATTCTATAAATCTAAAGATAATTCTCAGCCAAAGTGGGATAGTTTCATCCAAGCAGAAAGTTGTTTGAACTTTGCGGTGACTCCAAGTTGTGCAAGATTCCTTGGGTTTAGCCATTTTCCATTACTGGGTGCCTGTCTCTGGCTGCTCTCTTTTTTCTTATTTCAGGAAAAAGTGTTCAACCATTTCTAAGAACAAGATTAAGGGAAAAAAATCCATTTTTCCTTACATGTTATGAGTTTTTCTTGCTGTTTTGGTGAGAACCCTGCTGTGCCCACATTTAATAGAAGGAGCTTGGCGCTCGATGAGGGAGGGTTTGCCTTTTTCTCAGGGTTGTATCTTCTGTTGCTTCAAGTAGGAAAATAAAAAAAAAAAAGAAAAAAAATTTGTCCAGCCTGTAAGAGTCTGGAAAAAAGAGTTCACACAAACTCCCCAGAATCTGGTTTGAATTTGTCAGCTCTGTCCCAGGCACGCTGCAGTCTGTCACTGAGCCGGCTGGGTGAACATTAACCAGCACTAACATTAGCCAGGTTTTCCTCTCCTGGATGTGATGTAAGGTTCTGTGCCACTTTGGCAGGAGCACAGGGAGGGGAGACTCCCCCATAGGAGACTGGCAATGTCGGCGTGGGAGCAGGAAAGGGAGAGGGGCTGATGGTGGGAAGGGAGCAAGGAAAAGGACTAGGACGGGGACACTTGGAGGACGTTTGGCAAGCACCTTTGGAGAAGAAGCAGGAAAGAGAAGGAGGAAGAAGAGGAAAAAGGAAATCGTGGGGGTAAGGCTAATTCTGGAAGTTTGTGTCTATGCAGTAGGTCGTGTGAGGTATGAGCTGGGTTTTGCCTGCCTGGAGCTAAAGGCACTGTGAAGCTCAGGGAAGACAGAACGGTGCTTCCAGCAGCCAAAATGAATTAGGAAGGGGCCAGAGTGATTAGCAGGGAGGGGTGGAAGTCAAAGGGGCAAACCCAGAGGGTTTGGCAGAGGAGCAGCACTGCAGGCACTGTGTGTGGTGTGGATGCAGGTGAGGAAGAGGCAGAGGCAGCCCATGCTGTGCTGGGAGGCTGCAATCGATGCTGATGTGCAGAGTGATGTGCCAGGGGCTTGAGGAACCCAAATAGCTCAGAACAGGGGTCGTGCCAGTGCATTCATTAATGTTCCTGTAGCACTTAGACCGTTTGGTGGTGGAAAGAGGAGCACAGCCCATGAGGAAGTGATTAATCCTGTTGGCAGAGGAAGGTGGGATTAGCTTGCAGTAAGTAAAGTGCGGGGGCCACACATGGATTGAGGAGGACAAAGCAAAAGATCCATTCACCAAGATTGATCCCAGAGCTGGAGGTCTCATTGGGAAAAAGCAGTAGCATGTTGCTGTGTGGTGCCAACTCACCTCCCAACACCCTGCACAGGGGGTGGCTGAGCACACCCCTGGCCTCAGAGTTGGCTTTTCCAAACTTGGAAGTGCTCAAATTTGAAACTACTGTTCTTTAAACAGGTTTTAGTATGTAATTTATAATTTATATTGCAGTAGCACCCAAAAGTGCTTTCCAGACTATGAACATATCTATAATTCTGGCTCTAAAAAGCCTCCATTGTGTGTGGGGGTGAAAAATAAAGGAAAATCGACCAGGATTTCCCATATAGAATTGCCTAAAGTTTGTGCTGATGTCTTTTTAACAATGCCTAGTGAGAAATCTTGTCTGATATTATTGTGAGGAGCACAACAGGTGGTGTGAATTGGCTTGGGAGGCTGTGCAGAAAGGGCAGCTGACAGCTCACTGTATATGCAGATGTAGCACCTATTAGCAATATCCTCTGTGGTTTGCTTGCATGCAAGCTGAATAGATTCTCCAAACAATGCTGCTGTGAATGGAAGCCATCAGCAGAATTGCTCAAGGCTGCAAAACCCATTACTTAGACAGCAGTAGAAGCAAGAGCAAGTGCCACAGTGTAGTAACTTGTCCTGCTTTGCCGGAGTTGTTCTGCAGTTATTAGATCAATATATGTAGTTCCATATCTAATAAAGTGCAAGAAAATCATTTATCTCAATGTGTGTTGTTAGTTCAGTATTTATCCTAATACCCAGCTGCATAAACAACATAAATTTCTCTTTTTGTGCCTTTTTTTGGTGCTGTTACCATGTTTCCCAAGCACACAATAGGTTGTGTCCCCTGCTCTGATTATTAGGACCACGTCACTGTACTTTTTACAATCAGATTTTAATTGCAGCTGTAGAACCTGTGCAAAATCATTTAATACAATGTTGTGAGCAAATAGCGCAGATGATGCGTTTAGTATTTGATTGCTGTTAGTTTACTCATTGATTAAACATGCAGAGTCTCTGCTTTGACTGGTGAGGAAGTCAAAGACCACACACACACACAGGGGTATAGGGTTTATATCCACTGTAGGGTTTATATTTCACTGTAGGCTTTGTATTTGCTATAGATTTTATATTCACAATAGACTTTATAGTCACTGTAGGGTTTATATTCATGATAGGGTTTATATCCACTAGAGGGTTTATATTTCCTGTATATTTTATATTCACTATGGCTTAGGTTTTCCAAAGGATTAGCAAGGAATCTGGCACACAAAATGTGGCAGTTTTGGTGGCTTAAAAATGGCAGTGAGGATTTATTATGCCATAAAAGAAGGGACTCATCAGTGGAAAGGCTAAAAGCTGGTCAAGAAAAGTTTCAGCCTTGACTGGTGGCAGCTGGTGGGTTTGGAAGAGTTGGTGGTAGCTCTTGCAAGTGGAGAAAGAAAATTGTTAGGGCTTTTTTTTCTGCTGAAAGCACAGTGTGATTTGCATGGAGCAGCCCAGGTGAAAAGGTAATGATTACTCAAGGACGTGAGCAGTGTGGTTTTATAACAATTAAATACATGTGTTTAAATAAAGAGAGAAGAGAGTCTGGCCAGGAGGAGGATATACTGTAAAACAACCAGGTTTTGTTCCACTCCTAACAGAAGCTTATAGACAATTATGGAAAGGACTTTGCTGCTATTTATTGCCTGAAGTTACTGATCCATCTGTCTCTACCCAAACTCTTGTACAGACAATTTTTCCTCATAATTCTGCCTTTCTCCTTTCTATTATTACTCAATATTTAGATGGGAATTTTGACCAGTAGCCAAGTCACAGGCTTTATCAGCTATTGCCTAAATCCTCAGCAGTTGGTAACTGAGCTGTGCAAAATGGTCACTTTAGGGTTAAATATTGTTGAATAAATAGACCTGGTGAAAGAACAGACTCTAACAGCTCATGTTTTGGGGGAATAATTACTGCAGAAAGACAGCCCACAACAGTGTATGTGTGTTTGGGAGAGTGGTCAGAATATCTTTTAATTCAGCATTTACCCGTGAGAATTATTCCCATGAGGAACCTTGCAATAAAATCTGCTTGGTCTATGAGAATAGAAAGAAATTGAATAAAAAGACTCCATTTCCACTTGTATTTATTCAGTCTGGGAAATTCAGTGGGCCGCAGCATTAGTATCAGCAGGGGATTCCTTGCTCCTAGCGTTAAATTACTGTCATAATCGCTCAATTATTTCTTCCTTGTACTGTTTAAAATAAAAATCCATCACATTCTATGTTTTTTTCTAACATTTATTAGGTTGAGTGTTTAGGAAAATCAATTATATTCAGTCAGGCATGAATTGATGAATGTTCTTGTAATAATTGTCAGTTGTTAAACTGAATGTACTTTCTCTTTTCACCCCTTTTCATTTCCTTCAGAGGGCAGAGGTGGCTCAGAGAGAGGCAGAGACCTTAAGGGAGCAGCTCTCATCAGCTAACAAATCTCTCCAACTTGCTACGCAGATCCAGAAGGCACCTGATGTGGTGAGAGAAAATATTTACTGACTCTTACAGGTTTCTGACATTCCTGCAGTACAGCTCTTTCAATTTATGCTCACAGCTATAAAAATAGCTGTTTGGAGTCATATTTTAGCTGAAATGGAATTGCATTCCTTCGGGATTGCGGTCGGATTCACCTTCTGGGGGGGTTGGTGGCTGGAGAGGACCACGGGAAGGACAGAGGTCACTTGGCTCTGGGGTGATCCATTGCTCTCCAGGGCTGCCTGTCCAGGTGGATAGCAGCAGCTCTCAGAAATTATTTCACATTGGTAAGAGCATCAGCAGAAGAAAAATAGAGGCAGCAAGAGTACCTTGGTGGCCATCAGCACGTGCCTGCCTGGCAGGGCCAGCAGAGTGAGGAGCTTCAGCCTGAAGGGACCAGCTTTGCCTGGAGCTCCCTGCCCACTTCTGCCTCTCTTTATTCTCAGTGTCTGGGAAAACTGGAATTAAATTTGAAATCACTCCAGTTTTTACTGGATATATATCTAAACTGAGAAATACACTTATGAATCCAATAAAAACAGCTTAGAAAATTGAGAAGATACCCTGTCCTCCTGCTCGTTGCCTCCTCTGTGTGGTGCTAACTAAAGCCAATGCTGCTGTCTGGGGAGGTTGGCAGCACTGACTCTGCTGATGGGACCTGCAGGCACAGAGCACTGTTACAGGACTCCAGCTGGTCCTGGATGAACAGGTAGCACAGATGAGCAACCAGAGCATTTTGGTTGTTGTTTGCCAAAGGAGAAAAATGAGTATTTAAATGTCAATATGCAATTAAGTGAAATCTAGTCTACTTCCAAGCTGCAGATTTAAGAAACAAAAGAAATCATGGCTTTTTTTTTTTCTAGCAAGCCATGTATGTGCTTGACACTGAGAGCAGAGAAACACGTGGTTGCCTTTAAGAATCATTTGCAGGGAATGAGTAACAAACCCTAAGTCATCTAGATCTGTTTGGTCATCTATTAATATAACCCAGTATTTGCTGGGAGAAGTCAAAAGAGAGACAAGTAGGCTGCAAACCAGAAAATAAAAAGCCTGAATATCACTTGTAACTCTGAATAACCTGCCTCTTCCTATCTCCTGTCCTAGTCGTCTTATTATTTTAACATTAGGTCTTTCTTGTATTTAATAGTACTTCTGCACTTCATTTATATTTAATATGACAACTACTGCAGGATGAAAATGATCATTATCTATCTTATTTCAGACTCTACGTTCTAGTCTCAGTAGGCACAAGCAGCAGATGATTATACAACTTGTGATGTTTCATGCAAGCAAATTAGAGGTTTTTTCAAGTTAAAAGTATAATTCAGTGTAATAGGAGAGTGTTGTTAACTGCTGTTCGTACATGCAGCTCTCGGTGAGTACAGTGGGGTGTAGTCACTGAGAATCAAGCTGAGTGTTTAGAAGATATGGAAAAGAGTATTTTGTTGTTCCTGTATTCCCAGAAAAGAGGGTATGGAGTATATTTCAATCTGCTGCAGTGTCATCTTGAATTGTCAGGAAAGTGCTTGGATGACAGCGTTGGTGGGTTGAATTCTTGGCTCTTTCACCGTGGGATCTTTGGTTTAATGTTCACCATCATCGTCTCTCTCTTGCTAAATGGATTCTCTCCTACTTCACTGGTGTTTCTGTGAAACAGCCATTAACCTTTGTAAGATGCATTTTAGGCTCTTTAATGGAATGTGTATTCATCCTTAGGCTGCCTAGTGCTCCCCACACATGCACGAGGATTTCTGTACATTCTTCAGGGAAGAGGTTCAGAGCTCTCCAGTGAGTTACAGCTATTGATCTCTTAACACAAAAGGAGACAAAAGGATGGTACAATTAGTCTCTATTACCTTTTCTGAATAGATCTGCCTTCTTCTGAACCTCTCTGGCTCCAATTTCATGTCCTACTGGCAAGTTGGTTTAGTGAGGAAGTTTCATACTTGAGGACAGATTTTGCAGCTGTGGAAGATGAAAGATTTAGGGAAGGGAATTTGTGAAAGTGATGACCAAAGGGAGAATGGTCTTGTCTTAGAGCTGTCACTTTTATCTTCATCCTCATGGAGGGATGCTTGCAATGATGTTAACACGAACGATTTTCATGCAAGGGAACAAGTTCATTGGAAGTAGCAGTTTGGGGCAATTTCTGACAATTTTGCCTGGAACGTGCAGTGTGCATGCAGAGAGCCACAGGCACACAGCTCTGCCGCTCCTGATTAAGAAATTCTGCTCCATTACTTCCGAATATTTTATCTGATTAGTATTTTGTAAGCACAGATTTTCATAGTTGTCAAAGCATTTGGGCTATTAATAATAAATAGATCTAAATAGAATCCTTTGACTTTCACGGCTGCATCTTTCCAGTGCACTTACGAAACAGGGGAATTTATACTCTCCATTATCCATGTTTTTCTAGAGAGCTGTCCTGGGGAGCAAAAAGGTTCATCTTCCAGACTCACTCAGTCAGTTATAGGAGTCCCAGGTGTAGGAGTTGTGTCTGTCTCTTGTGCCACCCAATGCCATGCTCGGTCCTTGCCAAACTGCCCTGAATTCAAGCTTTTTGTCTTTATTGATGTATCTCATACCTTTTCCCACCAGGAGCAGGCCATCGAGGTGCTGACACGGTCCAGCTTGGAAGTGGAACTGGCTGCAAAGGAGAGGGAGATTGCACAGCTGGTAGAAGATGTCCAGAGACTCCAGGGCAGCCTCACCAAGCTGCGGGAGAACTCCAGCAGCCAAATCTCCCAGCTGGAGCAGCAGCTGACTGCCAAGAACAGCACACTCAAAGTAAGGCTCAGTTCTGTGCTCAGCAGCTTCTGAAGGGGGTAACTGATGCACCTAAACTGGGGTTTGCTGGTGTAAGTCTTCTGTGGCTCTGAGAGGCACTGAAAAGCTTCTTCAGGATGCTGCTGAATCCTATTTCTATAGTGTTCGTAGAATCACAGGAGGGTTTGGGTTAGAAGGGACCTTAAAGGTCATCTAGTTCCACCCCGCTGCCATGGGCAGGGATGTTTTGTGTTCTAAGTGATCACAGCTTTGTTGAAATCTAAAGCACCCAGTTTAGCAACGTGTTTTTGCAGAACATGGGCTACCTTTAGAATTAAATCCACCACCAAACCCCAACATGTATTGTCCATGGATACGTAGTGAAGCAGCTGAACTGAAAAGGCACAGAAAATCCTTCTTAGGTTTTCAAACTTGTCATTCCCACTCCAGTGATTGGTGTTGAAGATTTGCCAGGAATGTTTATGGCTTCTCTTTGAATTTACCTGCTCTCCACTCCAGTCCTCTCCACTGGAAAAGGGAAGTGTATCATTAAGAGCACAGAAACAAGCAGAATTAGGACACACAGAGAAGGCTTTTAGCCTTAATAACCATTTAATTATTAACTGTGTATTTGCTGCACAGTAATTCCCCTTTATAATTAGCAGTCTGGTCCTATACCTGTTTTCATACCAGTAGCACTGCATTAGAACCAGAAGGAACAGCTAGGAATTTTGTGAGTGACCCTTTTACCTTTTCCTTGGGCAACTTCACGTTCTTTGTGCCAAGCCCACACAGCTCTGCTCTCTCAGTGAGCATGAGAAATGTTTCCTGACATGTGGTATGAATCAGTTTCCTTTAACTCCTGTCTCGTTCATTGTTCTACCATCTATGAGCTCCGAAGGGTAAACAAGATAAATTTATCAATTCCATTAAAGACTTGGGAGTTTTGCAGGTTTGATAGTCTGAGAGTTTCTTGAGAGCAGGAGGCTGATAGTACCCACTCAGCTCTGACTGGGGCGTGGGCAGCTTTCCTCTCTCACAATGATTTAATGTTCAATTGAAACTCGTACAAATTGCTCTAATTCTGACATTTTTGAGCAGTTACTAGTTTTGCTGTGGTGGAGCATAATTTACATGGAGAGATGTCTGCTAGGAGTGAAGGCTGACATGTGGCACTCGGTGTGCTTTCTGCATGTTTTAAACCAGCTTGGCAGAATTTTTATGAGAATTCAGCAGAGTAAAGGACTAATATTAGGTAACTACATCAACAGAATCAATCTCTGCCCACCTATCCCCATGTGGGCACCACTATTATTGAGGGAGGAAGGAGCTGCCCTGGTTTTGAGGGATACATTTTGTGGCTACACCCATGTTAGGGGGGTTTTTTTTATTATTATTTTTTCATAAAGCCTGATAGAAAATGTCTTGAGTCCTTGCACTTGACAGATTTTCCTGGAATAAAGCATGTTCCTGGTGAGGTCAGTATTAGTTTAGCCATTAACTTCAAAGGGAGTAGGATCATAGAAATGACAGAGCAAGTCTTTGATTTCCATTTTAGTAATCTCCTTCCATTTTCTCACAGCCTTGCCCAGCTAATGCTCTGCATTTAGCTTTCTGTGGATGCTGTCTGATGCAGTGCCTCTATTGATAAATTTTCAGTCATTTCAACCCTCTTTAACCTTATTTGTTGCAAGTATAAAAATCTTTCAAGACACATAACATCCCAAGGTACTGGGACAGCCTGTGCCAGGGATGTGTGGTACAAAGCCCCAAATCTCAGTGGTGTAGGGTCAGTCTCAGGTTTGGTTAGGGAGGAATTGTTTCTGAAATAGCTGAGTTTGTAATGGTTGCCTCCACAAAAAAACCTCTCAGAGTTTCACAAATTAAAGCAATGTTCTCAGCCTGTATCTTGGGGGAATTGTTTAATACTCTATGACTTAATGAAACAATACAGAAATATTTTCAAAATTATTGCTTCTTTATCTGCATCTGATCTAATAATCAAAACATGTCCTCTAGTAAGAAGACTTTGCTAACTCTAATTATCTTAACCCTTTGTTGGTGGGTGTTCAAGCTTCCCTGGTACCCAATTAAAATACAGCAGTGCATGGGGGTGCATCAAATAACTAGGGGTAATTAAATGTGGGGGTTTAGTTCATCACTCTAAACTATAAACTACAGCATTAGTCTAATGGAGTTTTTTAATGTTTAAGCCCCTTAATACAGCCTATGCTATTTACCTAAAACACTTCAGTTAGTAATACAGTAATGATTATATTTTCCAAATAAAATAAGAGGGGACTCAATCTATGCATGCTCTGACATGGTTCATCCATACTGCAAATCCATAACACAGAATATTTGCAAGTTTAACATGCAGAAATGCTACCAGTCCACTCCTCCTGCCCTCTGCTCCTGCATTTTTGTGTGTTGGAAGACGTTAGAATATATTTTGTCTGAATTAACCAGGTTGATATTTAGTGCTAGATATTAGTTCCTCCAGATTGTCTCACAGCTTGAACCTTTGTTATCCCTTGTTCTGTGCATTTTACAGAGTTCTTTAAGACAATTACCATACTAATACATTTTCAAACAGTCATTGACTGGGAAGATGCCAAGTACCTAAATGGTCTTCTTATACACAGGCACTGCATTCTCAGTTGTTAGTTTATATTGTTTAGTAAAGTATACATTTAGGTGCAGATTTTCCATGGCAACAATCTCTATATTAGGTACTTGGGAGTGATGGATGGACGTGGTTTTTATACAATTCAAAGTAAAATATTGCTGGTTGCCATACTGCAGTAGCAGCATGCAAGTACCTGAGAGTCCAAAACAGCTTCATTTTTGCCAACATCTGGGGGTGCTCTTTATTTTTCTACCTGGGTTTTGTACCTGAATTTTCCAGAATACTTTCTCAGGGTACAGCAGATCCCTGCACATAATTACATGTAATATAGATTGCATTAAAGTGGGAATCCCTAGCTTTTTTGTATTGTATTTCTGTTTCTACAAAAGGTTGTTTTCTTAGCATATCTTTGCATAAGTGAATCATATATTAATCCAGGATATTGTTTGTTTCAAATTTATTCTGGTACTTTTTATACTGAGAACTAGTCTAAATAGCCAGTTATTCCCTGCTGTAAAAGCTCATCTGCTGGAGAACCAATAAAGTTACAAGTCACAGAGTTAAGGAAGTGGTGAAATGTGTCTTGGCTTTTAGGTGTTCGAAGCAATCAGCAAAGTGACATGACCAAGGAGAGCAGAAGGATGTCATGTGGTGTTGGGCAGGTCCTCCCATTGCCTGCACTGAGTTCTCAGCAGTGATGCTGAGTCTCCTTCCAGTACAAAAGTCCCTCTGGCTCACTGGTTTGATTTAAAGATCCCTCTCCAGCCTGACCTGCTGCATTAAAAATTCCACTTGGATTCCTTGTTAAAATAACTCTGTTTGGCTCAGCATCAAGCTGTAGCTTGAAAAGCTGCTTGAACTTGTGGCATGTCACAGCTGGCCCTCCTTAAAACTTAACTGATGTGACACTTTGGGCCCTGGGACTGCATGGTACATTTCCATAATGAGATTTCAACATGTGTTGGAAGTTAGTAAAACCTCCAACATCTTTACTATTTGTAGGATTTTCCTGGTCACATCAACTTGAATTTTCCTACTTACATCAAGTATAAGGCCAAAGCACCTGTGGCACTGTCTTCTATCTAAAGCAAAGCCAGTGCTTCCTGTAATTCCAGTTAGTAACTGGAGTTTGGTAAGACAGGACACATCAGAAGAAATGACTAAAACTTGCCCTGTATTTATTCCAGGTGGAAAAAAAACCCTGTTTTAGCTAAAATAGACATGGTTTATTTCTTTTTAGTACAATCAGAATGACTGCACAAGTCACTGATGGCTGAGGATGCTGGGACACAAGATCTTTTTAAGAGGCCACTCATTTCATCAGTGTCCCATAGAGTGCAAACTCCACACTGAGCAGCAGTTCCTGTGTCCCTGCCACGAGCAGTGCTGGTGATCCATTAAGAGCTGCTTGTTGAGCAGGGCCTGGGTATTCCTGCCGGGAGATGCCTCTTGTCAGCAGTGCCTAAGGATGGTGGATTATGGTATCAAACAGCAGGAACAGGAATTTAAGAGGGCTGTGTATTGATAATGTGGATGACCACTTTGTCACTGCTCTTTAACATACGTGCTAATGGCAAGGCAGCAATGTGTGAGCTGGAAAGGGCTGGATAGGAAATCCTTTAAGGGATGGCAGAGTAGCTGGAAGTCCCACAAAGCCCCACCATGCTGCTGCTGTCATCTAAAGAAGCCTCATTTAAATTGCTGAGGTGGCTCAGACAGTGGACTCACTGACCTGTGGGTGCTGTCTGACGTGATTTTTGGGTTTGCTGCTTGCACCCATTGCATAGGTTGAGATGGGTGATAGTCACACACTGGATTACTGAGGAAGGGCAGCATAGGGAACAGGTTCCCAGTTCTGTCTGTTGGCCTGCCCCAGCCCTGCCTCCATACGCCCAGAGCTGCCCAGCTTTGTGGGGCTGCATTTCAAACAGGTTTGCTAAAATCTGAGGCCCCATTAGCCCTCCCCTGCCCTCCTCCTGCACTCAACAAGCAGCCCCAGAGCAGGTGTAGGGTCTTGAATTCCCTCCGCGAGCAGCCCCAAAGCAGGTGTAGGGTCTTGAATTCCCTCCTCCCCCAAAGGCAGCCTCTCCTGGACATAAAGCCCTGATTTTCTTTTTCATGTCATATCTTCCTTTCCTTTTCAAAGTAGATGCTCTGTCTTTGAGGTGCTGCATCCTTGTATTATTTCTGTTTCCTGTGACCTCTGGGATTCTGTGCCAATTTTAACACCAGAAATGAAGTGAAGCAGAGCTAGCCTGAACTTATCCATGGGAGTTGCAAGCCAAGAAGTTCTGTTCTTTGCTCAGATCAGGTGTGCCTGCACTGAGCAAAGAAATTATGAGTGGGAAATGAATGTGGCTTCTGCAAGCAACGTAACGGCATCAATTATGTATCACTATGTTTTAGGCCTCCTGAAGCATTTATCCTGTAGTGATGAGCACTGTTGTTGGGAGCTGGGTAAGGTCCAAGTGTGTGGCATTGCGTTATGGATTGCGTTAGGGCGTTTGTTGCGACGTTTGTGGTATCCTCACACGGAAGAGAAGCCATTGAGGCTGCCCCAGGTCAGGTAGACCTGAGCAAAACGACCTGCTGAGTTGGTCTCAATGCTTCCTCTCCAGTGTGTGTAATCACATTAGTTATTGCAATAAGTAATGCTTGTAAAACGACCTGGTACAGCTGTTTTGTTTGGGCACGAGGCATTGTAGAAGCCTTACAAGCCTAAGGCGTCGCAGTCAACAACAGCTTCTTCAGTCTATTCTTTTTATCATGTAGATAAGGTTATCAAGAGCTGTCTCATTACAGACACAGTATGTGCCAAAGCATCCTGCTTGTTTACTCAATCCACCAGGTCCCTAAAAATTTCAGCTGCCCCATTTTTTCAGCCCTTCTTCCCTGATCTCTGTACTGAACACATGACAGTGACACTGCAAACAGCTGAATTGAGACCCACTGAATCCTGTCATGCTTGGCACTCTGTAAACAAAGGATGAGTGAGGTATAATTGTGTTTACGTTTAATTGGTTATAGTTTGTTTTCTAATATATGTAAATTAGGTATGAGTCATTAACCCTCACTTGTGCACTGCTGTATATATGGAATAATTTGAGGATGATTTTGAAAGCCTGCAGAAAAAAAACCCAACAATCTCAATAATTAAATCCATGTTCTTTCTTTTAAAGCAACTGGAAGAAAAACTGAAAGGACAGGCTGATTATGAAGAGGTTAAGAAAGAATTAAAGTAAGTGTTAAATGCTTACATAATTTTCTTCACAAACTCTACTTTCACAGTGCTTGTTAAATGAAGCCACAAATCTGTGTTCTTGGAACAATAAAGAATTCAGTCAAAACCACAAAGATGGGGGAATATGGGGGATATTGGCAGAAATTGCATCCAGAACCAGTGGAACTGCTGTATCTGAGAGTGCTGCTTTCTGTCACAGCACAGCATCACCACAGCAAATCATTCACGTGTCCATGAGCAAAAGCCACTAAAACTGTTGTCCACAAAGGGGAAAAGTTTGAAAATCTGTGGTGCTTTAAGTTGACCACTCTTTAAAAATCCCCAGCCAACAACTGAGTGTAATGTGGACCAAAAATTTAATACAGAGCCCTTGGCCATGGTACCTGTTCTCTGCCTCTGCCAGCCAATGTTCAGCACTTAGCAGTTTAATGCTGGGCTTGTTTCACTGTATATTTTTGCTAATATATTGTGGTTTTAAACTAAAGCCACAAACAGCCTCTTCCTATTTCAAGGGATTTTCTTAAGAGACTTAAAAGAGCCTCATTTTAAACTCTAACAAGATAAACTGTCAGGTTCAGAAGAGAACTTTTTTGACTGGAAATATGTTTAGTGTCAAGGTTTAAATAACTGCAAGAAACTCCATCTCTTCTTTCATCATTCTGGCATTTCTGTGTGTGTTTTAAGAAGACTGAAATAACCCGTTACCTTGTTTAATGAGGTATTTCAGACGAGGCTGGGAGTCATGTGCTTTTGTTTACACCTCCCTGGAGAATATGGAAAGCAGGTTTGGATTTGCAAGCCCCATGTCTGCCCAGCTCCTGGTGCTGATATATTCAAGCCACACTTGGCTCTGCTTCTGGTTCTCTGCCAGCTGCAGCACACCCTGATGGAGGTGTATAGTTTCACTTAAATTAATTGACCATTTCTTTGGTCATTATACCTGATTATTACCTGGTCTCAAACAAGCAGCATTGTTTTAGTGAGAGGGGTAAATACATCCATGTTGTCTCCTGAGTTAAGGAAACATCTTCAGATTTCAGGCAGTTTGTGCTCTCATATGTAAAGGGAATGGGAATTAGGCCACAACCTTCCAATTTGCTACATGAGATACTAAATGTAAATGTGCTGAAGCAGCAAATGAGTTTTGAATCCTACCTGGTTTAATGCAGAGGTAGGATACAACAGGACCAGGGGTTTAAAGCCAGACTTTTGGTGCCAAGAACCCAATATACTCACTAAAGCCATTCAGGCTTCCTTTACATTTGTTCTTTAGATACAAACCCTCTATTCCTGCAGGTAATGCCTTTCTTTTAGATGATTTTTCTTTTTTACAACACTGACTTACATGGGGACAGGGATGGGAAGGCAGATAAGAGGTCCAGGAGAAGCTGTAACACGTAGTTCATATGGTGTTTCTGCTCAGCATGAGCCTGCAGTGAAATAGAGGGGAGAATCTCCTGGAAGTGGCCTTGGTTGGCTGCCAGTAAATTAACCCTGTTATCCCAGCCTGTTACAGCTTTTGCATCCCCCAGTTGGTGGGTTCCACTTTTGATCTGGGCAGTCTGGCTGTCTGGGGGTTAAAACCCTCTGTGAGAGCACTGAAGATGTTTGCAATGCTGCATCCTCCAAGCAGCTCATTCACACCACCCTCTCTGCTCCCATCTGGCCCAAGAAATGTGCTAAAGGCTAAATGTGCATCACCTGACAGTGACAGTCTGCTCTGAAGTGGAACTATTGCTGTAAATGAGACTATGAAAAGTTTATTGCTGTAAATTTGGATCTTTCATACTGAATCCTTCTATACCTGCCTTGTGCCCTGAAACACCGATGAAAATGAGCTGCACCAAGAAAAAGATATCTTTTCAATAAGTCAGAAAGAAAATAAATTTCTTAGGTTTTTTGGCACTGGTGTATTTTCCTTAATCCTCCCCAGGATGTTAGAGGCATTTTAGGCTGAAGGATCTCAATATCAGCCAACTTGTAACCTTGAAGGAACTTAACTGGGCCCATGTCAAGATCTGGAATGGGAGGATTCTTCACTTTCTGCCTTGGCTTTTGTGCCCAATGGCTTTTAAACCTATTTTTGAGATCTGAGAGCTCTGTGTGTCCTTTCAGTTCCCTCTCGAGTAACACGACAGCACTGACCCTTCTGCCTTTGCAGTCGGGATCAGACGAACAGAAAGTTGAGCTGTCCCAATGCACACTTTGCTTTACAGTAAGATCTTTCAGGTTGTCTTAGATGTGCAGATTCAAGTCACAAGATCATTCCTTTAAAAAGCAGGTAACTGATTTTGAGCCACAGATTGAGTTGACATCTCATGGGCAAAGATATTCCTGGAATCCAAAGGCGAAACATTTTGCTTCCTCATATTTCTGAGGAAAATGACTCTTTTGTGACACATTTGGAGAGTCATTTTTGACATGTTAACTTTCAAATTTTTTTACAAAATGAACCTGCTGGAGTGAGTATTCCTCTTACGGCAATTTGAGATGCCATCAACTTGATTTTGAGCATATTTTGGGTTCTAAGTGTATAGGAAATTACCTGTGAAATTGCCAGAAAGCTAATTCAAGTAGCAAAGAATCCACTTTAGGTAGGCAGAGGTCAGTAAGTTTCCTAACAACATTTGAATACACATCCCTGCTCCAAGCTTACTGGAAATGCAGCTGCTGCAAGGATCAGGATCCTTCCTGAAGTCCCAGCTGGCAGCAGGTGCTCAGAACCAAAAGGCATCAGTACATCCTCCTGTGCAAGGAGAGGGAGGACAGGATCAGGGCTTGAGAGACAGACTTTTGGTGCAGAGAACCAAATATACACCTTTGATAAGTTTAGGCTTACTTTGCACTTCCAACCATTGTCAGCCTAGTGTGGTCAGGGCACTCTCACCTGCTCCTTCTGGAGCAAGCAGCTTCTTTGGTTTAGCCTCATCCAGGAGGAAGGTGGTTGGGATGCTGCTGGATTACTCTGCATGGCAAACCCAAGTGTGGTAAGTGGGGGTCACTGGGAGACCACGTCACAAGTACTGCTGGTCTGAACTGACATGGGATTTGGAGTGGGAAGTTTGCCAGGTGATAATTTGATGTTATATTTGGGTTTCTTTTAAATTCAGATGGGTCTCCTCATTTGACCATCATGAGGATGTCCATTACTGCTTGCTGTCCTTCCTGAGGCCATTCCCTGCAGAATCCATGGGAGGTTTTCCCCTAGAGGAGTCTCTGTGCATTTATCTCCCCCAGCACCTTGGAGTCCTGGGAGACAGAGCTGTACCTCTGAAGGGGTATCCCTGGAAACACTGCCTTGCAGTGATTTGCAACCTGGCTAAAGACACCTGTGATGTCAGTATAATATCAGGGTCTTGAAGAACTCGAGCCATTAGTGCAGAACTTCTCTCCTTGACTGGGCAAGTCCATTAACAGCAGAAAAGAGGCATTTTTGCACGTGGCTGAGCTGTTGTGCCCACGTAGAGTCCTATCAGCATTGCTTTACGTGCTGTGGATGGGCTGATGCTCTACCCTACAGCCGTTTGTAGTGGCAAGAGGTGTCATCCAGTGCCACCATATGATGAAACTGATGGCCAGAATTTTGTGGTTTATAGATCATTGCATTTTAGGAGCACTTGTCAGCATGAACACCATATGCAGGAAGTATGCACAGTGGCAAAATGCATCAGGTTTCTGCCTCAGAAACACTTTTCCTTGGATTTGCTCTGACTGAGTTATCTTGAATGACTCAGAGACCACTGATTTCCAGGGTGTCATTTAATGCACGTGTAACTCTGGATTAGTGCAGGGACAGGCTCAGAGAGGAGCCACATGGTCTGAGGCAGTTCATGGGTGCCTGACTGACTCTTAGTGGCATCCAGAACTAGTCCCTGTGTCTTATTATTGGTCTTCTGCCTCTTTTTCACTCAGTTTCCTCATTTCCTAGAGTTCCAGAATGGTTTGAGTTGGAAGGGACCTTAAAGCTCATTTCATTCCACCCCCTGCCATGGGCAGGGTCACCTTCCACTAGCACAGGTTGCTCCAAGGCCCATCCAACCTGGCCTTGGTTGGGGCAGCCACAACATTGAATACATGATCCACAAGTTTTAATTTAATTTAATACATGATTTAACAGATTCTCACAGCCTCACAAAACTCCTGCTGCTTTATACATGACAAATGCTGTATAAACACTATCTCTATGTGTTTTTCTTCAGCAAATGAATGTTGTCTTTGTCCAATAAGAAGCTGAAATCATTTATTGCTTCAGTCTGAGGAGGTTCACGTCCTGCCTGCAGCAGGCTGATTGAAAAAAATTTATACAACAAAGCACAGTAATAAGTTTAGATTCCTGTAAGACTCTGGTTTGCCAGAGGATCCAGCTCTTAACTGAGAGCCTTTGAAGGGAGATGTCCTTTGACTGCTCAGTGTTTATATAAAATATTGACAATGAGACTATCGGATTCTCCTCTTAATATACTTATAAATATTTGGATCTTTCATATTTCTTAAGAAATATTGTGCCATTTTATCTTCCCTTTGCCATAGAACAAGGAGGTTATTAAAATGAAAAACTGCCTTTTAGCCTGTAGTGTCTTGGTGGGGAAGATTATTTGTGCATATTTTCCTTGCTGGTGAGCTGGTGTATATTATATAAAGTGCTGTGCTGTGGTGGTGATTCCCCTGTTTTGTTGCTTTGCTACAAGTTCTTCATTCCCTTCCAGCTTCACAGATAAATTTATATCTCTTCTGACAGCTTAAAATGTTATATCCTTATTAACCTTTAAATTTACGCTCTAAACTGGCCTGGTGGGATTGCATATGGAATGATTTAGATGACGCTGGAGAAAATGTTCTTATCCAATAACTAGTTTGAATAGTTATTCTCTATTCATTATGAGATTGTGTTACTGCAAGGAAAGTTGTTATCACTTGTAGGGTTGCTGGAGAACAGGAAACGATAATGTTAATGCTCATTAGTGGAGTTGTTATGGAAAGGAGAAATAGAAAATAATTTTCTTCTCTGCCTTCCACAGTATCTTGAAATCCATGGAGTTTGCACCATCTGAAAGCTCTGGTGCACAGGTACTGAACTTACTTTTGTTTTCTTACTTCCTCAGCAGCTCAGCTAATTAACAGAAATTTTGTCTTGCAATACTTGGTGTTGACATCGACAGTTTCCTGTTGATGTTGAGACATATGGGTCGATCCTTGATTTTCCTGATGTTTTCTGATGTAAAAAGCTGAACTGAACATTTTTTTTTGCCTGTTAATTTCATCTAAGTGGTCAAGGACAAAGTGATGTTTCAGCTGTGCTGGAGTGGATACTCATAATGTTATGAAGTTGAGTCTTCTAAAGATACTGGAGTTGATGTGCTGGCAGCACACTGAGCAAGGATTTCAGCATTTTTAGCCTTGAAGATAATGCTCACCAAAGAAAACAAACCTTTGAGTACGGAGAAAGCAGGAGAAAACTATTTGCTATTCCAGCAAATTAATCTCACTTAAGTTTAAAGGTTATGAATTAAATTCCTGCTTCTGAAATCCAAACTGAATATTGATATACTGGGCTTAATTTTCAATGTTTTTTTTAATGATGAAGGGTTAGATATTTCAGAGGGTAAATAGCAGCTTTCTGTGGCTGCTTTTGGTTTTGAACAAACTGTTTCTGCTGAAACACAGCATGTCAAGGAAATGCTTCACTTGGGTCAGTTGACCTAGAAGAAATAATATAATCTTAACTCCTGTTTTAATCAGATTAAGAGAAGTCTGCAGCTATTAAACCGAAAGCGTGCCAGGACCATTTAGAAATAAGTCAGATTAAGAAACTGTTCCGTTACCCGTCTCAAAATCATGCAGAATTGCTGAATGATTTACAATGAAAATGAAACAGTGAATCTCTTCCATGGCTCACGTGGAGCCTGGAGTGATTCCTGTACACACGCTGAATTCCCTCGCTGCCTGCTCAGCCGAGTCGAGCACTTGTGGGTTGTTTTTTGTTGTTTTTTTTTTTTTGGTGGGGTTTTTTTTTGTTGAGTTTTTTTTTTCCTTCTGAAATCCTTTTTAGTGCTCGAGCGAAACTCTTAATGCTTTTAGAAACAAACCTCCCCCTTTGGTTTTCTTTAGGATGGATCCAAACCGCTGGAGGTGCTGCTGCTGGAGAAGAACCGTTCCCTGCAGTCGGAGAACGCCACGCTGCGCATCACCAACAGCGACCTGAGCGGTAGGTTGACACGATTTTCGGCTCTTCTGGTTCGTTTGCTGTCTTGTGACAGGAGGGAGGGCTGAGGGAGAGATGAGTGTCTGAGCTAATGCATGGCAGAAGGATTGAGAAGCAACAGGAACACTGAATAACGTTGGATTTCTGCAGTTTTATAGGCTGGATAATAAAGTAAAACTTGGCGAGCTCAGAGAGTCTCTAAAGGTTAAGGAAGAGGCATTACAGGCTGTACCCAGTGGTAGTGTTTGAGGCTGTCTTCTGTTTTGGGAACAAATTCATCTGTGGCACCAGAAGTCTCTTCCCCCCCTCCCAATGTTATGCAAAATGTTTGCATGTAGAACATAATCTTCCTGTCTGATTCGCTTGGATATACCACCAGCAGGGGAAAACAAAACCCTCTCTTTTTAGCGAAGCGTGTTTGCCGTTTGGCTTTCCTAACGTGGGCTGTCACATCTTGTGTGCACATTTTTTAAATGGCAAGTCATGGAATTTCCAGATCCTTGAATGCTTATGGTTTTTGCAGCTGGAAGAAAGTTAAAAGTTGCCACTGGCCCTGGGATTACTGAATTCTGAAGTGTTTTATGACTTTTAACTGAGTGATCTTGGTGCATCCACCTAATGGTGATTCCTTTATTCAAATTGGTTTGTTCCAAAATGTAAATGTTTGCTGCATTTGGGTTCAGTCAGGTCCAATGAGTCATGTCTTGAATGAGAGACAACAGAGAGACTTGCTGTCTGTAACTGCATTTATTTAACTGTGTAACTGCACTTGATGTAACTGTTCTAGTGTTAATGTCTGTAAGGGGGATTCTCCAGGCTGCAACATACAAGAAAGGTGCAAACATGAAATGCATGTTGTTTGTTTTGGGGGCCTTGTTTGGCTTTAAAAATTTCAATTATGGAAAAAAAACAAAAAACCAACAACAACAAAACCACAAAACCAAATGAAAATAAAACCAAAACCAAACGAAACCAAAATCCCCACCGCCACTTCATTGGCCCATGTCAATCTGCACTTTTTCCCTTTGCGGGGCAAACTTTGCATTTTTTTATCCTGGTTTTTCCCTCTTTGACCCCCCATAATGCATTATGTTTGACCTTCCTTGTAGGGTCAGCCAGGAGAAAAGGGAAAGACCAGCCTGAGAGTCAGCGTCCTGCAACCTTGCCGGCCTCCCCTCCTTCCCAGTTGCTCCGCAACGCGGGGGAGCAGGCTTCCAATACTAATGGTACACACCAGTTCTCACCAACGGGTTTAAGTCAAGACTTTTTCAGCTCATCCCTGGCGAGCCCCAGCTTACCCCTGGCCTCCACAGGAAAATTTGCACTAAACTCTCTCCTCCAGCGACAGCTAATGCAGTCCTTCTACTCCAAGGCAATGCAGGAAGCAGGAAGCACAAGCATGATTTTTCCAACAGGTCCATACAGCACAAACTCCATATCTTCCCAAAGTCCATTACAACAAAGCCCGGATGTAAATGGCATGGCCCCATCTCCCAGCCAGTCAGAAAGTGCTGGGAGCATCTCTGAAGGCGAGGAGATAGACACGGCCGAAATTGCACGTCAAGTGAAAGAGCAGTTGATCAAGCACAATATTGGACAGCGAATATTTGGACATTATGTGTTGGGACTGTCGCAAGGGTCTGTGAGTGAGATCCTAGCCCGGCCAAAGCCATGGAATAAACTGACTGTGAGAGGCAAGGAGCCATTTCATAAGATGAAGCAGTTCCTCTCGGATGAGCAGAACATCTTGGCTCTTCGCAGCATCCAGGGTAGACAAAGAGGTAAGCGCTCGCCCGGGGACTCGCCCCCTTCTCCTCTTAGCTCCACCTGTTACAAACCAGAAGTTCCCTCTCTGGGGCTGTTCCTGTGTTGCTGCTGTTCTCCCCCAAATCAGGTGTCAGGTACAGAAAGTTCAGCTTTCTAGCTCTGCTTTGCAGCACTCAAGCAGGTTAGTATCTTTGCTTATGCTTTTTTTAGCCTCTGGCTTGTGCTTGTCAGCAGGAGCAAGCAGCAGGGACACTTCCACCCCTCACTTCCCAATAGCTCTGTGTCAGAGCTAAACACAGAGTGAAAAGGGTCAGCAGCTACTCAGGGTATCAGCCCTCAGAAATACCTGAACTTTTTTCTTTGGGGTTGTTTATTGAGAACAGCCTTTTGTTGTGTCTTTGTGTGATGATGTTTTCTCCCCAAAGTGTTGTGGCAGAATAGGGTAGGTGATGCATGAGCTGAGTAATTAAAACACAATCCCAGTTTAAAGCAGCTTTGCATATTTAAGGCAGCGATTTTTAAGAAGTAAAGTGCGTTTCATTGTGATTCATCTTAAGACTGAGATTTACATTTAGAGAAACTGAAAAGTAAGTTGTTTACAGTCCAGAACTATTGGAAAGGACAGGCAGGGTTTTCCTAGATTTTGTTTAATTGGAAGCACACACTGTTAGATTTATAATCTGTTCTTCCTTTTGATGATTGTACTTGAGGGGATTATCTGCCCATCTTTAACCTCTTCATTTTTGGTATCTCTAGACATTTATTTATATCTGTCTAATCTCCTTTCCGAACATAGCTGTAATCTTTATTAACAAATCAGCCAGCCTTGCTTCTTCCCAAGTAGGCAGCTCTGCTGGCACTCAGGGGCCCAAGGGGCCAGGAGTGCTCAGGGCCAGGCTGCTAGCTCCTCATGTCACACAGCCCGTGATGTCAGAGCAACCATCCCCTGATTGTTTTGTTCTTACCAAACTTGTTTTTCAACAGAGAATCCAGGCCAGAACCTGAACAGACTATTTCAGGAAGTACCGAAACGAAGAAATGGGTCTGAAGGTACGTCACAGGCAGGTGTTTTTCTTTGCAGTCAATCCCTAGGAAGTGGAGTGTGCTTTAGCTGTGTGTTTCCTTAAAACTGTGCAGTTTGATTCTGGCCTGGAATCTGATAGAAAAACAGACAGTAAGTATAAAACAAACCATGGGTTAGATGAACACTTTGCTTTTTTCTAATTCTGCTGCTGCTGTACTAACGTAACCCTGTTTGGATAGTTTTTCCACTCCCATCCTCCCTGCGTGCACAGATAAAAAGAGAGAAGTGATAGAGGGGGCTTTATAAAATCATCAGATCTATTGAAATGCTCTCTTTGCTGGTTTTGTGATTTTGGAGGGAGAGAGTTGCGCAGTTGCAGCATCAATCCCATCCTGCTTTTGCTCTAGATTTGCTTCTCTCTTCTCATGGGGCTTATGCTGACAAATTCCACTTTAATACACTGTTAAATTAGTGTGATGCTCAGTTCAGTATTGTATCTGAAAAAGACAACAAGAGAAGTGAACATTAGATTGAGAAGTTATCACCGAACAGGAAGTCTGAACATTTTTCTTTGTTATCCCTAAGTCACAGAATTTTTCTTTTAGTAAGATGATAAACAAGAAAAACCAGAGCAGGTACTCCAAAACTCTGTAGTTGTTTGACTCCAGTCAGAAATTATCTAGCTCGCTCACAAACAATAATCTCATAGTGAAAAATGCAGTTAAGTGCAGTAGAATTCACAGTTTTCCCTCCTTTTCTTCCCCTTAGAGGTTAACAAAGAAAAAAGCAAAGCAAAACCAAACAAGTCATAGCTCTTAGCTGGAGAGTACTTCAAATGGTATCTGTGTTTAAATGACTCTTTCTCTTCATGTATTAACCTCCAGAAAGTTAAAAATTATTTTTATCTAGTTACTTTTTAATTCTGTTTTGGGCTGAATGTTTACTGATCCTACTTTGCCTAGCAGCTGATGCCATTTTTAAGTTGATTCCTGGGCTTACGTTTTTAGCTTTCTTCCTTTCCCCTCTGGTTCTTTTCCCTTCTGTTTCCTCTTCCCCTCAAAAGAGAAAAAAGAGAAAAAGAAAAAGAATAGCATGGAAAAGGACTATATGACCACCTAGTTCTTCCTCTGATGTTCTCACTGTTCCAGGGCAGCTAGAGACAGGCAGAATGAGGATATTTTTCTTTTATTATGTTAAGTACATTTTTGGTGTTGTAAATGTTGGTAAAAGTCCTGTGTGAGCTGTCCTCAGGTTGTGTACTGGTGGTGTATCAGTATATACTGTCTTTGTGTCACAAAAAGAGGCAAACCATAATGTTCCTGGTGTCATTAGTTGTGTTTTCCTCCTCAGGTAATATAACCACAAGAATCCGAACCACAGAGACTGGCTCTGATGAAGCCATCAAATCCATTCTTGAACAAGCCAAAAGGGAGCTGCAAGTACAGAAAACAGGTACAGCCTCATTTTGTCTCTGGCTCCTTTATTTCAGAATTTAATTAAAACAATTACCATGAGCTTTCTGGTCAGTTAATTATGTTCTTAAAACCTTGAAGTGTAGGTTTGAAGAGCTTTTTGGGTTTTTTTTTGTTGTTACTCAGTGGAGTTGATTCTGTCTCTTAGACAGCCCAAGTTAAGGTCACAGGTGTCATGGTGTGATGAGGTCTCTGTTCTGCCCCACTCCTGAGGGATTTCTGAACACCTTTCTCCCCACTCAGACCTGCAGGCAGTCGCTGCAGGGGGAACCTGCACAATCCTTTCTTCTCCCAGTTTGCTCCTTGCCAAGGGAACAGCTCCTGCTTTCTCTTCTCTCTAACTCAGGCCCCAGGGACACAACTGCATGGGAGATGGAACTGAGTGGATTGGTTGGGGTGAAGGTCACATTCTAGCCAGCAATTACCAGTCACACAGTGCCATTGCACTGGGGACATCCTGTACCCAGATTATTGTACAGGCAAACTCAGTTCTGACTGTTAGATGACTTTATTTTTGGTTACAGAATGTATCCAGTGAATGAACTGGCAAATCCAAATAGCATTTCCTTTCAAAAAAATCCATAGTTTAACATCTTAGCCTGAGATAAGTTTAATTTCTCATTGTATGCTGTTATGTAGCTAACATTTCTGTCTATTCCACAGCCCTCCCAGCTTTAAAAGAGCTCCCAGTACTTTTAATGGGCTGAAGTAGAAATTACTGTGCAATACTTTGGTTTCATTTTTTCAAGGAAATTAAAGTTTAAAACTGATGTACAGTTTTGGCTAGTTGTCTTCCAAATGAAAACCAAGTTAATCTCGTGGCAGGATATAAAAGACTAGTTAATATATGATCTAAATAATATGGCTTTATACAAGAAATTATTAGATAGAGAAAAATGTGGGCTGTGTGCAGGAAACTGCAAGCATGTTATTCAGCAGCATGTTTCATCTGAGAACCTCAGACTTCCTTTCAAATATTAATTCAGCCTCAAAACTCCCTATGAAGCCAGTAGATAAAACAGAAGAGAGAGTCTCACTGTCTTTTTTTCCCCATTTCTTAGCTTTTCATGTGTTTTATAGTGCGTGACAGGAAGGAATTTAGGGAAGCAAATTCAGAAGTGGATTCAGATGAGACATAGTATTACCCAAGTAATACACGGCGTGTTTCAAATCTGATTTCACTCTGAGGCCACTCCTTGCAGTGTGTGAGTTCCCTGCTCCTACCTAGTGCTTCATTTGCTCTGTTCTCTGAGGAGTAGCTTTCTGAGGAATTGGTTTTCAAGCACTGGGGACCTCAGTGGAGACTGACTTAAATGGAAGCAGATGCCATTGCAAAAACCTCCTGGCTCTGCAGAGATAATTCCCCACCCACGTTCCAGGCTCTGCTCATCCCTGACTGCTGCAGCACAGACACCCAAATCCTGCTTCCCCACTGGAACACTGCATCTGGGGGTTATCTCTGCTGAAAGCACCCGTGGCTCCATCCTAGACCTTCAGATAAGGCAGAGACTGATGGTCAGGCGTCAGCCTGGCTTTGGCAGAGCTGTTTGCTACAGGGATTGGGACCATGGAACAAGAAAACAGGAAGCAGGAGCATATTTAGCTTGTCAAATGAAATAATCATGTCTCTTCCTAAAGTTCTGGCTTTGTTGTAATTCGTGTGTGTTATGTTTTTGGAGTTAAAAGGACTCACCTTATTTATACTGTGCGAGGGTATTAATAGTCTGTCCAGGTGAATGCAGCTGTGTTCAGTTCTGAGCGTGTGTTACGATTCATTTGTGGAGTAAGAGAGAAGTGAAAGGTTAAATAACTTTGGAAAGAGACCCATAAAATGTTATTGACCACTTGGGGGTGGGGGGAGGAAGAGGTGAAGGCTTGATTTTCAAAGGCATTTATGTGAAAATTTTTACAATGGTGGAAGTGCAAGTGGTCCCAGCCCTGTGCAGCTGGGGCTGAGCATGCAAACATCCAGCACTTTGGCAACTATCAAAATTTTCCAGTGAAGCACTTCGGAAATCTTACCTTATTTTGAAAAGTCTTTGCTTAGTGAAAACTCCTCCTTCCCATCCAGAAATGTATTGCAGTCCTTTTTTTTTTTGTTTTTTTTTTGTCTGTCAGGGAAATGTTTACAGTAGCACGTGTTGAATATAAAGCATTTTCCTCTGTTGCATTTAGTCTTTTGGTTGTTTTTCATAGCTGAGCCGGCTCAGCCGCCTTCTGCATCTAGCAGTGGCAATTCTGATGATGCTATTCGATCCATTCTGCAACAAGCCCGACGGGAAATGGAGGCCCAGCAGGCTGCCCTTGAACCTGCCTTAAAAACACCACCTTTATCTCAAGCTGACATTTCTATCCTGTCCCCCAAACTAGTGTCTACACCTGCAATGTCTTCGGTTTCCAGCTATTCTCCTTTGGCCATATCCCTGAAGAAACATTCATCTGTCACTGATTCCAGTATCTCTGCATTGCAGAACCTCTCTGGGCTCAAAAAGGAGCCTCAGGAGGCACCTGTTTTAGAGCTTCATGGAATAAGTGATTCTGCCCAGGGTATGTTGAGGCATGTTAAAAATGAGTTGGGACGTGGTGGTGTTTGGAAGGACCATTGGTGGAATACTGTGCAGCATGAGAGAAGAAATGCAGCTCTTCCTGAAGATATAAAAGTTGAGGAAGCCAGTGGTGGAAAAGAAAAGGTCAGCAATCAGACTAGGCCAGATCGTAGCCAGCTCCAAGGACCGTCTTCTTCCGAGTATTGGAAAGAAAAAAAAACCCAGAGTTCTGAATTGAGCATGACTGGGGCGAGTCGCAGTGAGACACCACAAAATAGCCCTCTCCCTTCATCCCCTATCGTGTCCTTGTCCAAGCCATCCAAACCTTCAGTTCCTCCACTGACACCCGAGCAGTATGAGATTTATATGTACCAGGAGGTGGATACGATAGAGCTAACGCGGCAGGTCAAGGAAAAGCTAGCAAAGAATGGCATCTGCCAAAGGATCTTTGGGGAAAAGGTAAAGAAGTGGTTCTGTCTTGTTACACCAGTGTTGTGAATGTGCCTTGTGCTCCCTACGTGGGTGCAGAGCCCAGTTTAACAGAGGGGCATGTGCCACATGTGTCTTAAGGAAAAATGTTTTTGCTTCATATGTTAAACATATACAAAATAAGCTCACAAAGGAAAGTATTAGTTTCCCAGTTTGGGGAATTGTGGAGAGGTTTATACGGAGCTTGGCTTCAGCCACTTGGAATTAGAAATGGGGCCCCGAGTTTAGAAACCTTGAAAGCTGAAGCAAACATTATTGAGCCTCAGTATTTCATGCTCAGTGTAATGGATTCATGGAATATTTGAGTAATACCATTGTCCTGACTGGAGAGTCTTCAATTTGTTACAAGTGAAGATTATGGACACGAGAGCATTTTTCCTTTTCTTATTATTATCTGGAAATGTGCACAAGGGTATTTAAACAAACACATGGAAAATCCCCTACCTTTCCTTAGTCTGAAGGCAAGAATTCACAGTTGGTTCTTATACCTGGTGCTCAGGATCTCAGTGTGCTCTGAGGCCTTTTGTGAGCAGTGTTTAATTACAGCTATGTGATGCCCGATAATGCTCCCTGAAGTCCTCACGTTGTGGGCCCTAAGCATTGAACACGTGGAATTTTGGGGGTCCCCAAACCTCAGAAAACCCTTCCCAGCCTGTACAAAATGTTGGGACATTTGCTGTTTCTTCTTCCTATAAAGAACAGAATCAATATAGGAGTATAATAGGAACTGGCATCGCACTATTACCTTCTCACTAAGATGTAAAATGAAAAGCTTGACCTCTCGGGGTCGTTAAAGATCCCATGGCAGCTTTCATTAAGTATGATTTTTAACTCCTGTACCTGTGCAGAATTCCAGGCAAGTAATTGCATTCTGCCTGTCTGAAATTCCCCCTCCACTGCAGCAGGCTGTATTCTTAAATATTTACTTACACGGAGCAGCTGCTGCTACAGGTGAAAACACACATCCTTATAATTCATCCCCCAAAAATCAACCAAATATAGGCCTAGTCTCAAAAGTCCCAATTATTTTTGTTGGAGAACAAAATACATGCCAATCATTGCCTGTTTTATCTGCCTGTGTGTGCCTGGACTCAGTGTTTTTCCTGTTAAAAGTGATGAAACTATTTGACACAAAATATGAAAAGCATGCAAATCCCTCAGCAGCCTGCTGCCACCCCAATCCTGCAGGAAAAAATAAAACCACCTTCCAGAAGGAAACACTGCAGGAAAAAAATTAAGCATTTCCATCTGAGTATCTACAGATGTCACTTTACAGTTTTTATAATTGTCCATATAAAACCAATTTGAGCGACACATTAAAAGAAACCAAAGTGATTTCAATTTTCCCCTTTCCACTTCCCATGTGTTAACATGCCATTCTTGGTTGCTTCACTTCAGGTATTGGGGCTGTCCCAAGGAAGTGTCAGTGACATGCTCTCCAGGCCAAAGCCATGGAGTAAATTGACCCAAAAAGGCCGAGAACCATTTATTCGTATGCAGCTCTGGTTGAATGGTGAGCTGGGACAGTGTGTCCTGCCTGCACAAGGGCAGCAACAAGGACAAGGTAATTAAAATTCCACTATGTTGTTTGAGTTGAGGAGGAGGAGGAGGAAATCTTTTTTTCTTTTTTTCTTTTTTTGCAATTTGCACTAAGCCAGCCTTGCACCAGTGCTGGTCCAGGTATTATGGAAGTGGCAGCATCCACCCTGGCATTCCCAGCCGGTCCCTAAGGGAACACTCTGGGAATGTTTACGAACGAAGCGCTCGTTTATGCGTAATTGATAAGCAGCAGTTATCGAGTTCCTAATTAGGGTGATATTATCTAGGCATGAATATGATACGTAATTCCAAAAGTTTTGGCCAAAGAGCTGGAAAATGTTGCGTGCTGGTTCCTAGGGTTGCAGAAGGGATTTGGATTGTTCCAGGGAGAATATCGATTGCTTTCTCAGGAGGTGAGCTAGAAGAACTAAGCTTTAAAGGGGGAATGCTGTGTTGCAATTATGCTTTTATTGTGGCTGTCTCTTCCCCTTAACACCTATTGATACAGAGAAGCCAGGCTAGAGTCTGGCCTGGGTTGTAGCTTTATGTGCCACTGACTTAACCTAGCAGCGAGGCCTTGCCGAGATCAGCACTTTGCTATTTGTTGAGCCTGCTTACTGTTTAGTTTGTGGTTTGGCATCTCCTTTTATTGTTCCCTGATTTTCCTCTCCTCTCTTATCTAGTCCTTCACTCTGTGACATCATTACAGGATTCCCTACAGCAGGGATGTGCAAGCTCAGGTAATCAGCTGGTTTCAATGATTTGCTCTGAAATAATTCTCTGTGCTTTTGTTGCGTTTCGTTTGCTTTGATGCCAAGAGGTTTCTCACGTTTTGTTGTATCATACAGGAGTCCCTTCAATTTTTTTTTTTCATGCAGTTAATTCCTCGTTCTCTCCTTGTTGCTATGGCATATGTAGGGAGTACACATATTTAGCTGCATACATTAGGTAAAGAGACTCTGTCTGATCTCAGAGATCATTGGCTCTGTAGGGGTTTTTTTGCCATAGTTCAGCTTATCAATGTGACATGTGACAATGGCTGTAAAACAAGCCCTGAGTTTGTAATGTGAGCTACATACCCCAGCTGCCTCGCTCACTGGTAGGTTTTTTTTCCACTTCCCTTTGCACAAAATCTGCTTTGTTAATTTGAAGGTGGAGAAAAGACCACGTTACGTCTTTTGCAAGCTTCGTTAAGTATTCCAAGCTGACCTTTTTTTTCTCCTTTCCCTTTCCAGTTGAAAAAAAAAGAAAAAAAAAAAGCAGATGCAGCAAAGCTGAGTGTCAAAGAGAAGTGAGTGGCTGAAGGTTTTATAAGATGGCCACAGGATAGGAGGGAGGCTGGAACAGAGCAGAACAGCTGTGTTCCTGCTGTTAGATACCAAACTCTACCCACACAGACTTTTACCAATGATATGCTTGACTGACATAAACCACTCAGGCTGTTTTGTGCTCTAGAAAAACACTCGTGCCCTGCTCTGTACTCAGAGCCAGTGCCCTGGGTTGGAGAATTGCTGTATTTCAGCATACAGAGAGGGATGAGTTGTGCTCTTCTTCCACCTTTCTGCTATTCCAAACCACTCTTTTTTTTCCTGCAGCTTGCTGGCTTCACTCTGAATATCCCAACCAAACTGCTTTTTCTCTCTACTGGGAAACTATTTTGCATTCTAAAAGATTTGACTAGGAGAAAATCCGTGATGATATTCAGGCCACGTTTTTCTTAAGAAGAACAGTTGAAAATAAATAGATAAAAGCAAAAAGGAAAAAAAATATATAAACCCATCTGAAAAATGCCCCCAGTAAAAACAAGCCGTAGAAACAAAAGCAAAATGGGAGAAAATGATTTGCAATCATAGGGCTATTGTTACTTATAGCCAAGCACTTAGGGAACATGGAAATTTCCTGCGCTGGTTCATTAAAAACATGCCATTGACTACTTTTTTTTGTGGCATCAATACCGTGCAAGACTAAGTGTCCCAGTCACAAAGGCCTAAGACAGCGTGGAAAATATGAGTAATTAATTGTAGCCATTTGAAGAGGAATTGGAAATCAGAGGAGCTGGGAAATGCTGCATTGTTATTGCTAATCATCATATTTATGACTAAGTCTAATTATAAAAGATGGAAAGACAAGCCCAGGGTATTAAAATCCGAGCACCTTGTGGATTCCCGTGAGGATGGCTGGGAGCTGAGAGTGATTTCCTTCAGGAAGTTGAGTTTTGCTGCTGGGATATTTTGCTCCCTCCCACACTCCCAGCCTCGTTTGTCAGTTCCTGCCCTTGAGCTAATGTTTTGTGAGGCGACACGTTCCTATCAGCTAATAAAATCATATTATTGATGATCCCCCCTCCTTCTTCCCTTAGAGCCAACTTAGGAATGAGAAATGGGCTCATGCCCTTTTCTACCTCCTTTCCGAGGATTAAAAATAGAATTGTTGTACAAAATGTTCTTTTCTTGGTGCCTTTCTCTGTATGAAGGAATAAGGAAGGTTGTGACACCAGGCAGAACAAAAGAGCAAAACCAAGTTATTTGAATGAGGAAGGACAGTTTGGTAATTTCCTTTTATTAGCAGCTGTTCTGTAATTAAAAGCGCAGCAAACAGTTTGGAAAAGGTAATAATAATTATGCATTTGTGAAAGATTCACCACTCCAGGGCAGGAAGAAGGAAAAAAAAGAAGAGACAGCTCCAATTTTCTGGTCTTCTGAGACATTTCCCAGGAAAATCAAGGCAGAAAAGGTTGCATAGTTGTAATTTTAAAACAGAAATTAATCAGAACAATTTTTGAAATGAAAAAAGGTCTGGAGCCTTTTCCATGTAATATAATTGGCTTGGAACTTGTTGAATGCATGAAGGGAAAGAAGTGAAATTAAACTAATACACTCAGTGGCTCCTGAGTGCTTTGCCAAGAAGGTCTTCAGTGTACAGAGTGTCAACATGCATAGTAACAGCTCAAACTTTATTAGCTGGGAGTATTTTCATTACTGTTTGGCACTATTCTATCAAACCAGCAGGATTTTCTGGATATCTGACCCACTTAGTTACACTTCTAGATCATAAGGTTTTGATTAACACCTCATTCATGAAAATCTCTTCTTTTGTCCAGTAATTTTCCATTTTCCCATGTGGACACATGGACCCATCAGTGTTTCATATGTGGGAATGGATGGGTAAAAGATATGTGTTTATCTCTCTATTGAGATAGCAAAGAGAAGCCAGGCTTGAAGATATGTATTTATCTCTGTGTTGAGATAGCAAAGAGAAGCCAGGCTTGGTTTTCTTCTTTGGAACCTATATTTAGGAATTTTTGGAGAAATAGTCTGTACCAAAATCACAACCAGATATATGTACCTGTATTTTCAACCTGTGACCTTTCTTCAAGGCTTTGGCAATTTTGTGCAAGTTCCAGTGAACATGTTTTACACAAAAATGGATTTATCTCTGTGTTGAGATAGCAAAGAGAAGCCAGGCTTGGTTTTCTTCTTTGGAACCTATATTTAGGAATTTTTGGAGAAATAGTCTGTACCAAAATCACAACCAGATATATGTACCTGTATTTTCAACCTGTGACCTTTCTTCAAGGCTTTGGCAATTTTGTGCAAGTTCCAGTGAACATGTTTTACACAAAAATGGTGTCTGTACCCTAGGTGGTCAAAAATAGTATCACTGTGCCTTTTCTAACATTTTTTTTCTGTGTATTTCTTTCCACCTAAATGCTCTAATGCCCTTGGGTAAATCTGCCTTTTTAATGATTTATGTGTCAAAAGCACAGACCAAATCACATGGAAAAAAAAGTTGAATTAGTGTCACCCAACTGCATCAGCATTTTTTCATGATGAATTTGGCCCTTATTTAGTTGCATTACTGATGATGGGAGCTGGGCTGGGTTTGGACAGTCGCCATGTGCCAGGAGAAGGCTTGGATATTTTTCTAAATACTTGTACTGTGTCTAGCTTTTATTAGTTTGTTTTATTTGGGGTCTTGTATAGCGAATCTACAAGAGATTAAGACAGAGTTTCCTTTTTGGTGCTGTCGATTTTGTAGCTACTCCCAGGAAAGCTGAATTTTTATTCACTTTTGTCTCTCTCCTCTGTGAAGGACATATACTCTCTATATACTACATTAAAGACTTGCAAATACTCAGTGGGAAAAAGACGTGCCTTTTTGGTATGTGTTTCTGTAAGGGTCGTCTTATGACCTAATGTGGAAATCTTCATTTGCCGATACAGCTGCGGGTGATCTCAGGGGATTTTGAATTTCCCTTTTGTTTGTCTTCCTTTCTGGGTATCATCCATCATTCCTAACCTCATGCTGCTTAGCAATAGTAACACTCATGGGAGTTGAAGAAAGGATTATAGCAGCATAAAATGGGGAGCTAATTAGAGCTTGTTTCAAAATCAGAATCTAGCTTGAGATAATTGCAAATTATCTGGTGATTTAAAAATCCGAGATCTACTGTATTTAGATCAACTCAAATATGCATAAAAGCTTTCTTTTCCAAATAAAACATTTGTAACAACAGGGGAGATTACTTCTTATCATCCCTTGAGAGAGCAAAGCTGAACAAACTCTCTGTGGTTTGCTGTAGTTATGATATTAGCAGACAGATTGGGGAGTGATGGCAAATCCAGGTATCCATTCTATTTTTACTTAGGTAATGCATATTCCTGTAACATTTTTCAGTCCAGGAGCTGCTGAGTGAGCTGATAGTTACTGTCTGCTGGGTGGATCTTCCCGTTTGCCTGATACCAGGATGATGCTGTCACATTGGCTGCTCTGGGAGGAACAAAGTAGGGAGAGAGAGTGTGTTTCAGGCTGGAAGTGCCTACTAGGGATTACCATCCTGATGTGTTTACAGGAAGAGCTCACTAGCCACGTGGTGGCAATGGAGAAGCTCTTACCCTGTTTCCCTCTGGTTCCTGATCATTTTGTGCATTGTACTGGTTTGGTTTGGGCAGGCAGAGCTGTCCAGTGGTGCTTCACAGTGCAGTTGGGATTAGTATGTAGAGAGCTGAATCCTTATTACCATGAGATCCCCCAAGTGATCAGTCCAGTGATGCTGACAGATGTTCCCAATTTTGAGCTATTTTTTGTCGTTGAATCAAAAAGACAATTGAGGTGGTTTTGCAGTCATTTGCTGACATTCCAGGTTACTGCAAATGTGTGACGCGAAATGTTTGTGGTTAGTGTAGTCTGTGAAATGGAAGAGAAGGGAAATCCCATGGCTCTAACAGCTGAGTGGTTGCACTGCAGGAATTCCTTGCATAGATGGGTTCTGTTTGATGACTAGGTTTGGAGCCTTTGGGTTGGGTTGGGTTGAGAAGGTTGTGGCCTTTTGTGCTAGGTGCAAATATGTTTTTTAAGTTCAGAGCTGAACGACTAAGTCAGCCAAAGATTTACCTTCATTCTCACCCTGGAGCACACAGCTACTTACTGGTGAAGTTTCCACATTCTTTCTGTGTAGCTTGGGATTGCAGCTTGGAAACAGTTGGCCGTGGCTGTCTTGATTTCAAACCATAGGATATCAATTGGCTCCTCATAAGGGCAGCTGTTGTAGTCTGTCTGTAACGTGTGTGATCCTATTCTGTGCCATTTCCCTGACATTTGGACCATGAAAACCTTCCTGGCAGCCTTTGTGGTATCAATAAAGCTGGGAGAGTCGCTGCCAAGGCACCTTACTGGCACCTGAGTATGCAGTGTGGAGTCAGTGTTTCAAGTTCATTCTGAGCATAACATTGGCTCTGAT